ATTAAGCCACACATGATGTAGCTGCTAGGACTCCTTTTTTATAGTCCCCAACACATTTTGCAAAGTCCAGAGTTAAGAGTTAAGGCAGGCCCTGACCAGTGTGGCTCAATTGGTTAGAGCGTTGTTCCGTGGACCAAAGGTCGTAAATTTGATTCCTGGTCAAGGCACAAGTCCAGGTTGTGGGTTCAATCCCTGGTTGTGGTGCATACGAGAAGGCAACCAATCAATGTTTCTGTCTTATACTGATGTTTTCCTGTTGTGTTGTCTCTCTCTCCTCCCTTCTCTCTCTAAAAGCAATGAAAAAATGTCCTTGGGTGAGGATAAAAAAGAAAGATAAAGAGTAAGGCAGCCTCATGGGGGTGTGCATCCTAAAAGTCAGGATTCATGTTTTGTTTTTGTTGAAGCTCTGCCATTTCTTGGGATTGTGACCTCGGACAGGTCACTGTTCATTCCTCATTTGGCAAATAAAGGTTAAAATAATTGCTTAACCATAGGCAATATTCAGTGACTTCTCTGACCTAGGCACTGTTGAAATTTGTAAAGTAAAGAAGCTACAGCCCCCACCCTCAAACTGTTTTTCTAATAAATTTAAAATATATGCTACATCTTATGACAGTTCCAATCTTATTTTCTTCAGTAAGAAACTATGATTTTTATTGCCTTCAATGTAGGTTTTAATTCTGCTGTTGTATTTCTGGTTGTCTTTATCATTTCCTTCTCATTCCACTGACTGTTCATCTGAACTCATTTTATTACTATTAAGTTTCTGCCCTGTTTCTTAGAGATGTGCCTTAAAAACTCCAATTGAATATGCCAAAGAATTTTTAATGTTTTCTTTTGGTTCTGGTAGTAAATAATTTTTAAGAGGCCTTTCCTTAAGTGTTCAAAATAGTATTTCTTTTTCTTTGTATGCAATACATTTTTCCTAATGGATCTACTTTATTACTTTTTTATTCATTCTAACTAGAGTTATACATATTCAGTGCTTCCCAGCACTCAGGCCACATGATTCAATCCCAGCCCCTCTCACTGGAACTTGGATTTGGCACAACTCACTGCCAACTCCCAGAGGTGGCAGTTTTTATTTTCTGTGGATTTGTTGGCAAGAGGGGCATCACGACTGCCTTTCTAACCTAGAGCAGACAGTCCACGCGTAAAACGACACCCCTCCTCTCAGGTCACAGGGTTTTCTTGTCCCTGCCCTTTAACAGTTTTACTCAGGATCCTCAGAAGGCAGAGCATCACCAATTATCCAAAATCCGACTTCCTGCCCTGTGGGCTTCTTGGCAGTTTTCTAACGGACTGAACTGAAAGGGAAGATAAGATTTGGGTCGTAGAAGAGTTCTGGGAAATTAAACTCACTGCTGCTTCCAAAAAGCAAAACAAAACAAAACAAAAAACCCTCACCACAGCAGCAGAGTAGAGGGATGCCTGCCTTGTTTTAGCCTTAAAGAGGCCTTGCAGTTTTAAGCGAGGTGAGCAGAAGGAAGAGAGGTCCAAACTCTTGTGAGGCTGGTGGTTTATTTGTTCACATGCCCATATTATGCTTATCAAACAACTTACATTTAATCTTTTAGATTCTGGAAAACCTTCCTAGACTCTCTCTGAGAATGTCAGTTCTAGTTTTCCTAGCTGAATATCATCTAATTGTCAAAGTCAGCATGAACTTATGCTTTTTTTGCATCTTCACAGGTACTTTCAAGTGAAGTAGAGAAAGACTACATGACGGCTTGCTGGTCAGATGCTGCTTGAAAAGAAAAAGCCCAAGTCAGGTGTTTACTGAGCACCTCCTTCAGCTCGCAGAGATGTCTGCATTACAAGATCAAACTGTATGGTGACGACATGCACACACAGAGAGAGATGTACAACAATACCCTTTCCTACTTCCCTATGCACTGGGGAGCGATACAGCTTCTTTTTCCTTTGTGTTCATAACAGGTGATCAATAAGCACTCTGGAATGAATGAACGTCATCAAAGCGAGCGTAGAGAACTGGGAGGGTGTGATGCTGCTGCAACAGAAGGAGCACAGGAAGTGCTCTGTGGTTTTCTAAGAAAACACCTTTTTTTTTAAATTATCAAGATAAAATGCTAAATGCAACCTATTATTGGTAAGACAGTAATACAAGGAGCCCAAACTGTAGACATTCACACGCCATTCTCTCGCCTCTCCTCCAGAACACCACACACACTATGATCCCCTGGCCCCAACCCTCTTCCCCACTGCCCTCAGTGTCCATGCCACCTTGTCACCTCCTGTCTGAAGCCTTTCCAGACTCTTGAGGCCAGGTGGGGAAATCATCTTGGATGCATCCAGGGAGCCTGGGACTCTGAGTGGCATCTGGACTTGAGCCAGCATCCCTATTGCCTGTTTATATGCCATCTGCCCCCCAACACAGTGATACTCCCGAGAGCTAGAGCTGTGGCTAGGTACTCTTATACACCCCACCAACTGTAACAGGGCCTGTGCTTGCTCAGATTATTAATTAATTGATAAGCACAAGTGCTCACAATTATAATAAAAATAGGAGCCTTTTCTCTTAGTTAACCTGGACATTAACATTGGTATTAAATACTTATCATATGAATAATAAGAATTCATCATTCAAAATATGAAATTGTTCATATGTATATTTCTCTAAAGAAATGAGTGATCTCTTTATTATTTCTATACTGACTCTCAATTGTCAATAAGTACATATTAAATGCTTAGTATGTGCCCAGTGAAATGTTTCAGGAGCCAAAAGAAGAACTCATATATGGTTCTTGCCCTACAGGGATTATCTTGATAATTCTAGTTGCTATGTATACATTTCATCAAGCACTCCTTTTCCCTCCCTCAAAACACCCTCCATGAATGTAGGAATTACTGTACCTTATTACTAGTGCCTGGCACATAGTAGGTACCAAATAAATATTTACTAAATAAGTGCTAGAGACAGTAGACATTGTAGGCTGTGACAGAAGGATAACATGACACTGGATGGGTTTCGAGGTGACTGTTTCGATGTCATCCAAAATTGGATTGAGGGACAGATTTGGAGAGACCCATTGTGGGGGAAACATTTTAGCCCAGAAGAATTTCCTTCTTGCTCTCTTATCTGGGTCACATTCTGTGTTGTGATGTATACTCACGGAGTGACAGCTATTCAAATGGAAGCCTAACATGAGAGCAGTTATGAAAGAAAAGCATCTCTAAGAAATATCAAGTGAAACATGAAGTATATTTATAAAATAAAATCTTTTTTAAAGGGTAAGCATATCAGGGTTTTTCTATGTAATTGGGCATATTTCCCCAGGCAAGAAATCTCCTTTGGTAAGTAAGTCCTTTCTCTGATGAGACAGACAGTCTTCAAAATACTCCACAGACTCCTTTGGAATTACATTCTGCATTTGGGCTACCTTTATGCGAATATCCTTGTGATGTTAATTCTAAAGTCTTTGGATGTCAAGCTTGGTTTTAAGAAACAGACAGAAGCCACTGGGAGCCAGGGCACTTGCCATGCCGGCTGTTGAAACTGGGTAGACCGAGGCTGGCAAGGGAAGGGTCTCGAGGGAAGGACTCCAGACTCAGGATCATTTTCCTCTACAACTCTGCTTTGTTTTGGGGTCATTTTATGAAATGGTCATGCCTCTTTCTTCTTCAGCATTTTAACTGTCTAATACATGTGGCTTCAGATATTTGTCTTTCATTAAGACACTCATTTTTGTACCCATGCAAAATGTGTTCTTCCCCCAGCCTCTGTGTACACCCAGAGCAGAGCGTCAGTTATGTGAAAGCACAGCTTTCGCACTGAAGCCTGTGTCCCCTTGGCCTGCTCCCAGCGTCCCCCTCCTGCTCCCACAAGGCCAGACAAGGAGGCCAACTCATTATTTGTTTTGTTGACACACTTCACAGACTCCAGACAGACACAACTCTTGCCATGTCCAATTTTCTTTTTACCTTGACTCCCTCTTCCTACAAGAAACTGATTGTACCAACAAGGTAATGAAAATAAAGATCAGGTATTCCTGTTGGCATCATAAAACTATTTGGAACAATCTCAGTGAAATTAGTTACAAACCACAGAGTTCTGATTCTTGAAGTTCTTCAAGCCAGCAGGCCATAAAGTCCGTAAATAATGCACTGCTCACAACCTTCACTCTGAACTCCTGCCTTAATTTACCTGATACTCTGCTTCTCAACTTTTTGGATTCTGAATCCATGACTTATTTTATTATTTGTGACCTCTCCTCGGCTCTTGAAACTGAAGCTTTACTCTACTTCTCTAGCCTTCAAACCCTTCACCCATCCTCAAACATGATTCTTGAGAGCTATTCTGCTCTCAGCCACCTAGTCTCACTTGGCCACCAAGATCTTACACTTTAGCTTAGGTGGTTATAAGCTCTCCTACCAAGTTCATCCTGGCTTCTCCGGGAAGGCCCAGAATCTCTGAGGTGGAAGGGAACCTAAAGGTTACCAGGAGCTGAATTTATTCACCAACCTAAGTCACTAATTGTATTTTACTTTTGCCACAGTTCCATCTGAAATCCTAATAATATTAGCATGGACTCCAAACAGCCCTGACCTATAGAGCCTGGGCACATGTGTGGCTGTGACAAGCAAGACCATGTGTGACAATATTTAGCCTTTCCCAGCAGCCTGGGGTTGGGGACGGAAAACATACCTCTTCGTGTCTGATATAAATACAAAAATTACACAGGCAGGGGCTCACGACTACCAGCCACTCCGCGGGACAAAGAGGTAGCAGTAGCTAAATGTAAGAAATACTGCTTTTACCACTCTGAAGGCTGGCTCAGAAACAATGAGAACTTTCGGCAGCTCATCCAGGGGAGCGGGCAAGAGCCTTCCCGACAGCAATGTGTCTTCGAGAAGCCAACGGGCTGCTGGTCTGTTTTGCTTTTGTTTCCTCTTTTTCCTTTCCCTTCACTTTGCCTCTTCCAAACTTTGTAGCCCTTTGGCCTGCCTTCACCTTGGTGCAAGGACTGGCTGTCACTTACCATGCCCTTCAGTGTCAGATCTGCTAAGGGAGACCGGTTGCCATGGAAATCTGGCCAAACATGTAAATCAACAGTGAGGAAACCCACAGGCTGAGCCTTCTTAATCAGATCCAGGTGACTGTTCAAATATGCATATACACTCTGGCATCTGGAAGAGAAGTAGATTTTGTTTTTAGAAGGGGGTTAGGGTCGGGGAGCAAATTGTTCTGCAGAAAGAAACCATTTGTACTCTCACATCAGATCCAGAGAGTATAAGCAGGGTCCCAAAAGCTTCGGCAAAGAAACTACCCAAAACCCATGGAAACTAGCATACCATATTATGAAATCATTGTCCTATCACCACGAGTAGGTGGCATGTATTAGGGAAAAGCGCAAAGGTTTGGAATCAGAAGACCGGATCCAGCTTTCCCCAGAGTAAATGTGCAGCCACGAGAAAGTTATTCGAACTTTCTGAACCACTTTCTTTGCATCTGTAAAACCAGATACACACTCCCTGTCCAACTTACCTCATAGGGTTATTGTAAAGATCAAAAGAGATTATGTATATGAACATATAGTATTTTGTAAACTGTACAATACTGTACATATGCAAAGGATTTTTAAAAATCAGTGTGGCTAATTGTAATAATGATGATGAGATGACGAATGGAGACAAATGCACTCTCCCAGACTCAGGACAGGAATTTGCTGAGGGAAGTGATAGGACCAGAGTAATTGCATTAGGATCAGGAATTAGAAGACTTGGTTTCTCACCTGAACCCATCAAATGACATTGTGTTAGTCTTTTCTCCTCCTTAAGCCTCAGTTTCTTCACACGTACAATAAGGGAGTCAGACTACCTTTCTCAGTCTCTCCATGCTTAGGTGAGAAGAGGCTTGAAAGAGGCTTAGGAGATGACAGGCTTGGAAGTCAAGGCAGTACTGGGTTCAGATATTATTCCATCTGTTCCAGCTAGGTGCCAGGGCCAGGGACTTGGCCTCCCTGAACTTCTGGTTTCCCACACATTACAATAGTATAACAATACCTACCTTACTGGGTGAAATTTCACTGCATGTCACAAAGATTAAAGTTGGTACCTTCCCCTGTTGAAAAGGTACTTAAAAAAAGGTGCTGAACCAACAATTCTAGAAAAAAAGTGGGTCTATCAGAGATGGGCATCCATGTCACTTCCCACTGGTATTGTTGGAAGGATAGCTTCAACGGTGGAGAACATGGCTTGAATAATGGCAGGAACCAATGCCCAGGAAACAAGTGTCCAAGGGAGGCTGGTATCTAAGAGACCTAGACGATAGTTATTATTTATATTTTTAAAATGTTTTAGGAGGACAGCTCAGAGATTTTGCATTCCAGTTTTGTGACACTGTGTGTTCCCAAGGATCCCATGAAGTTCCTGGATGTTGTCTGGAATAGAAATGAGTAGAGCAGTAGTTTTCAAACCCTTCTATTAAACAAAAAATTTTAAGTGGAACTCCAATATAGAAAAGACAGAAGAGCAAAACTGCTCTATGTAAGTGCATGATGAGTTGAATGTGAGAATGTGTGTGTTTGTGTGTACACTGAGTGGAGACACAGGTGGCCCACTGTGGCTACCAGGCAATCTTTTTGCTTCTTGCTGTGATACCTCATTCCCACCTGTAAAAATCTGCCTTAGCTCACATTAGGAAGACAGCGATGTGGTTGGAAAAAGACCACCGACCACCCTGTCATCAACTGCAGCTCCCGGAGGGCACACCAGGTCATCCATTACCGCCCTGCAGGGAGAGCACTGCTCACACCTTTTACAGAGGGGACGCACAAAGACATGTGACTGAGTCCCCACTTCGACCCTTCTCCATGTGATTCTGTGATTTCTGTATTCCAGATTTGACAAGGCCTCACTATTCAAACTCTGTTCTAGCATGACCCTATGATAGTGTTAGGAAAGAAAGAATCCATGGAAGACAGGGCCTAAACCATCTATCTGGATAGAACGTAATCGCAGCCCTGTTTTCTGTTTCCCAGCTCTGTCTGCTCCTGGTCCGACAGGAACCACACTGACAACAAAACCCACAAGGACACCATTTTTAGCCAGAAGTCAAGATTCTGCAGTAATTCTAGCAACAATCCTCTTCAGAACAGCATCACTGCACTTAGAATAAAGGAATTTTTTTTAAAGAAGTACACATCTATAAGTGTTTTCATTCACCTCTCAAGGAATCTCAGAACAGGGCATTTGGTTTCAGACATCTGGGTCAATAAGAATCTATGGGCCTAATTACTATTGATTCGTCATTGTCTCATTTACTGCGGGTCTTTGCAAACAGTGAGATTCATTTAGCCTCTACATATATAGTCACTCATGAACTAATGAGGTCCCTGGGGGACCAGGCATATGCTTACCCCTTTGACTTCTAACCTCCTCACAGCTGTATGTTTATTCTGTGAATACAGCCATTCTCCTGCACATTTTTTCAATTAGACCTTACCATGTGTGCTATCTGAGTATATCATTCAAAATGAAATGCACTTGGAAAACATTAAAATAACAAATGCACATCATTATTCACATAATTTTAACCTTGCATGATGCCTTTTTTTTTTATTTCTGACTTTGATTCATTTTGTATGTTTTATCAATTCCTTCTCAAATGGCTGTCTGCCCTTGTCCAGCTCAGGAATCACATACTAACTGTTCCAAGAGGACCATTCTCCCTCCCTCTCATGAACTCCAGGCTCAATACCCTGTCTCAGAGGGAGAAATTCTTGCTGTCCCAGTCCCATTGAGCATGATGAAGAAAATACAGTTTAGACCATCACAAAGTGGGTTCACCACGTGCCAGTTGGTTGATCAGGTACATTAAACCTTTCCAAACCTAGTTCACTTTTTTGCAATCAAAGCTAATACTTTAACCTTACAGACTCCTGTGAATATTAGAGTCCTAAGCGTCATAAAATGAGAGATGATCGATAAACAGTCCCCTTTTTTCCCATCACAGGAAATTAATTTGCAGCTTTAAAAAAAATATCCAAGAGTCAGGGAAGATTTTCTTCAGACATTATTGCTTACAATGTTAAATACAGAGAGCATCCCTGGAGGCTCTACACTCCTCTCCTTCCACATAAATCATCCGATTCTGTGGATTCATAGGCTGCTCAGAAGTCTGGTGATCATACTTTCAAACCAAAAAAAACAGAATACATGGTCTAACAAGAGATATTGTGCCCTTTCCAGGAGTAAGAGAGAGTCTTGGAAAAGAAGCCTCCACACAGTCTCTCTCTGGGTCCTCCCCTCTTGGCCACTGCAGCATGTACGCTGCCTGCTCCATTCTACCAAAACTGGTCCTGCTGCGAGGAACGATGCCGTCTTTGTTGCTCACTCTGAGGGACCACTTTCTGCCTTTATTACTTGAATTCTCTTCCACGTTTTGCACCACTTGACCATTTCTTACTCATTTGTTCTCTTTCCCTTGTTCCCAGCACACTATATTATTTTGGCTTTCCTACCTCCTTTCCAATTGGTTCTCTTCCATTGCTTGACCTTAAATATGTGAAGTGTCCAAGAGAACTGTCCTTGTTGCTCTTCTCACTCTTCATATACCCATGGGCGATCGCTTCTCCTCCCATGGTTCCAGTGACCACCCAGGGCAGAGGACTCCCAAATATATGCCCTTATTTCCTGCTCATTTCTCTTTCATGAGTTCCAGGTCAAATATCTAACCACTCATCAAGTGCTTCCTCTGAGTGTCCAAAGGGACCTCAACAAAAACACAGTACAACACACACTGTCTTTTCTGATACATGCGCTTTTCCACCTCTGTTCCTTGAGCTGTTCAGAGCCAATCTCATGGAAGCCATTGCTCAAGAAACCATCTGGGGGCAGAGTGAAATGGGCACCATTTCTGACTGCTTTCTCTCTCCCTTAGCTCCCCATCTTAATTTCTCACCAGGACCTGTCAATTTATTATCTTAAATATTTCTCTACCCAGCACACCTTTCTCCAGCTCAACCGCTTCCCCTTTCTTCAGGCCACCTTCAAATGCCTGGATGAGAGCTTTGGCCTCCTAACTTATATCCCCTCTTGAAATCTTGCCCCTTCCAACTAGGTTTTCTGCACTCATTCCTGGGTGATTCTTCTAAAAATGAAACTTTGATTGTGACACCTACCTCTATCTAAACCCTTTGGGAGCTCCTTCCCACTGTCCTAGAGATAAAGCACAAACTCCCTTGCCTGGAATAAGATGGTCTTCATTATCTAGCTCTCCCTACACTTATACTGTGTTACATACATGTATTCCATTCCTCCTCCCTCCTCACCCCTGCACGCACCATGCTGGATCTGTACTAACCTCCTTTTAATTTTCATAATATGCCTCTGAATGTTTGCCTATTCCTCTCCCTCTTGCCCAGAATTCTCTCCTTTGCCTTTTTTACCTGCCTCTGTCAATCATCATTACAGATTCATCACTGACATCATCTTTTGGATGCCGTTCTTGGACCCACACTCCTTCCACTGCCCACATGGGAGGCTACGCTGAACCCAACCGCCTCAGCTCCCTTCCCCGCTCTCCAACCCCAGCCTTACAAGATGAAAGGAGGAGCGATCCTGACATGTTCAAGCATCCCTTGGGAGTTCTATGTCACTTGCCCTCATCACCTATGTTGGGGGTTTAAGAGTAAAATCTGTATCTGTGTGGAATGAAGCAACTTTCTGCAGGATTGCTGATCACATTATTTCCCTGCTGAGGGTTCTGTGATGGCTGACACTGTCCATTGGACAAAATCAGTTTCTTACCTCGGCTAGTTGGCCCTGGCTGATCCGGGCCCTGCACTCATCTCCACCCTCACCTTTCCCACTATGGTCTGGAGCCTACTCTCGATTCCTCGGCCTTCTCTCTTTTTTTTTCAACCCTCATCCAAGGATATGTTTATTGATATGACAGAGGGAGAGACAGCAGACAGACAGACAGATGTGAGAGAGAAACATCAATTGGTTGCCTCCTATAAGGGCCCTGCCCAGGGATCAAATCCACAACCTAGGTATGTGCTCTGATTGGGAATCAAACTGGAAAACTTTTTTTTTTGTGGGGGGATGATACTCCAACCAACTGAGCCGCTCAGCCAGGGCTCAGCCTTCTCTTCAAGGCTTTCATCTAAGTTGATCTCTTGGCC